ATTTTTTTTTGTGCTTAGCATACAGCTCTGGAATGATAGAGATGCCTTAGTCAGGTTGATGGCATTTCAACAAGATAACTTCACTTGAAAATATGCTCTACCAAATGGTTGAGATGATTGCTAGTCATATGTCAGTTGTATATACAGTATATATCAGAACAAAAGGACTCGGCACTATGACATTATGGAGGTAAATCTCCAATAAGTGGTTTTATTAAATTTGCTTTAGAAAATGTACACACATTAAACAATCAACATGCACTGCTTTACTATACACAGTCCAGTTCTTTTCAATATGAAAACAGTATTCATCACGAGTATGTCATCTCACAGAGATGTTTTCAATAAACAATGTATTAATACAGAAATATCAAAACACTAGGTCAAGTATTGTTACACATATTCATATGGAAGGTGGCTCTATTTGAATCTAACACACGAAAACACAAGTTAATCTTGATCGTGTCGTCATTTCAACCAAAGAGGAACAAAATCTTGCATTCCACTGCATAATCTTTCCACAACTCAATCTGTGACAGCATAATCAAATTACTTTACTTTTAAAAGGACAACACTTGACCTTTAACAAAAAAGCCATTACAAGTTTGATGTCATAAAACTGAAACAACAAAACAATACTTACAAAATACAAAACACTTTTTTTTTTTTTTTTTTTTTACATTTTCAGAAGCAAATCACATAAACTAATGATTTTTTTTGTTTGTTTTTCACATTTATAATAAGCACTTAAGGATCTCAGATGAAGTACTCTGAAGCAACTCCAGAGAAAATATGAATAATATTCACAAATTGGGCTGACAATCCAGAACAAAATACACAAGTCCCAACAGGCACCTAAATGTCAGCAGCCATTATCAAAGGTTAAATCAAAATCATGCAGCAGCCTTCATCCCGGACACAAAAACATCCAAGAGCTTCAACAGTTTGATATGACATCTATATCGTACGGCAAGTCTGTAGGGACAATGCGACTTTTCTCACTCAGAGAGCATTTTCATTTACTCTCACTTCAGACTGCTTCCTATTTGACCTTACGATTCAGTGTGCGGGCGGCCTTAAACAACACCCAGGAGTCTCCTCAAATGTGCGTAAGTGAGAGTCATACAAATGGCCCTTTGAGTGCGGTCATCCTACAATGACACAGAAAGGTGGCCACGTCCCTTTCGTGAGGAGAAACAAAAGAACTAAAAGTAAAGCTGCTCCTGTCTGGACAGTCCTGATACAGCTCGCCATGCTGTTCATCTCACGTCTTGTCTTCGGCTCTCCTAATAATCGTTATTCCCTTGCAGATTTGGTCAAAAGCCCTTGGAGGGCGCACTGTAATTTATTAGCGCGGTTTAATGGCTTCTACATCACGGTAAGGATCAGTCAAATCATGTGCTTTCAAGTTCATGGCTGTCAAATTGTCATCATTCATGTGTTTATATCTTTCAGCAGCATGCCATATGTGTTTTAGTATTGCGATACACAAGCATATTAAATAAAGGAATAGTCCCCAAAATGAATATTTGCTGAAAATGTACTCACCCTCAGGTCACCCATGAAGTAGACAAGCTTGTTTCTTCATCACATATAGCATTGCATCACTTGCTCACCAATGGATCCTCTGCAGTGAATGGGTGCCGTCAGAATGAGAGTCCAAACAGCTGATAAAAACATCACAATAATCCACAGGTAATCAATACCTCTTGTAAAATGAAAAACCACTTGTTTAAGTTAAAATGCCTTAATGATGGATTTGTTTCTTACACGCAGCTTTTCTCTTCACAAGATATTAACTGATGGACTGGAGTAATGTGGATTAATTGTGGATTATTGTGATGTTTTCATCATCTTTTTGGACTCTCATTCTGACGGCACCCATTCACTGTAGAGGATCAATTGATGAACAAGTGATGGAATGCTCTTTTCTCTGAATCTGTTCTGATGAATAAACAAACTCATCTACGTCTTGGATGGCCTGAGGGTGAGTACAAACAGCAATTTTTTATTTTGGGTTAACTATTCCTTTAATTACCAGGACTGATTTGAGCGCTACTGGGTAAGCAGTTTTTCCCCCCCGAACTTTCCTAAACACATCTGTTTCAGCTGATAAAGGCCCTGAGGAGCATCTGGTGAGTGGCCTAGAATCTGCGCCGCAGTCCAGCACAGCGAGAAAGTGACAAATAAAACACAAACTATTTATCTGAGGTCTGCTAAACAAGCTTCGAATACATAAATAACCAGAACTTTTCACAGTCACAGAAGAACAAGTCACAATGTATATGGCCAGAAAAACAACCAACCAACCAACCAAACAACAAAAAACCTCAAGTGGCTTTTAGCAACCATTCAGCATTTCTGTTTTAAGATGCAGCAGATATGTGCAGTATGCAGCGCTGCCGCCCTTTTAAAATGAATAATAACTACGGATGAGCTGATATCTGTACTATCTGTACTAAAAGCAATGGCTGTTTGCGTACTCTGCTGTGTGAAGAAACACCGGCAGCAGACTGAATATGCTCGCTATAAGATATAACAGTGTGCAGATAAACCGAGGGGCAAAAAAATAGCACAAGCTGACATCTAATTTGTTGTTATATATAAAAAAACAACTTAAATCAGGTCAAGAATGTATTCTGAGTTTATGCTGTAGTGCTTAACAGATTATTAATACATTAAACCTGCCCTATCAGTCTCACTTTGCTGTACCTGAAAATGGCAACGCTATTAAAAAACCTGATATCACATACAGGAGGCTAAAAATAAGTATCAGTACTCATTTTCACTCGTTTTCCAAAACTGAAATCTCAAAATATAAAAAAAATATAAAAATGACAAGACAAAAAAGTATAATACTTGAGTTATCCCTTGTGTAAAAGAAGTACACTTAAGTATGCTTTTAAAAAGGCTACTTGCCATGGAAATAATATACTTTAATAAGAATTTCATCATCACTTGTATTGTCTTATGAAATATGGTTGAAGTGTACTGCTGAACGTACTGACAAGTATTTATGGTAAACTAAAAAAATGCTTTTAATGTCAGGTCTATTGAAACTTGTTTGTCATGGTTTGAAATATATTTGTAATTACACATTTGAAATGCTGCAATTTACTATAAGTCTATTAATTTTAAATGTAATCTCAACACACTACACTTAAAATTATAATCAAGTACTTTACATGTGCTTTAATATATGTCAACATATCAAGATAAGTGAACTTCTTAAAAGCATGACATAATATTATTAAAACAATGGTTCAAAATGTACTTTATAATTTGACATTATTACAGACTGCGAAGTCTTAAGAAACAGTCATTAAAAAGTGAACGCACTTCAAATACACTAAAGTGGCCTTTTTCATTAATATATTATCTGCAAGTACTTTAAAAAAAATACACTTTTAAGTGCACTACACTACAAGTAAATACACTACAAGTGCACATTTAATACAATTAAGCGATTTAGAGAAATGTAGCATTCCATCACTTGCTCACCAATGGATCCTCTGCAGTGAATGGGTGCCGTCGGAATGAGAGTCCGAACAGCTGATAAAAACATCATAATAATCCATAAGTAATCCACATGACTCCTGTCCCTCAATTAACATCTTGTGAAGAGAAAAGATGTGTTTGTAATAAACAAATCCATCTGTAAGATGTTTTTAACTTTGTTGCTTCCGGTTATATTGCTTTCTCCAGTGAAAATGTTTTCTAGTCTTAATCAGGAGAGAAATATGCACAGGTCAAGCATTTAAAAGCAAAATCTAAATCAGAGTCAAAGTCTAAATCAGTTCTAAACAAATATGCTGGTGGAGTTTGATGTGAGAAAACAACAGGGGATGGACTTTTTCACTGTAGGATACCGTTTTATAGATTATGGACTCGTATTTTGTCCAGAAGCCATTGTAAGGTCAAAAATTATTAAAGATTTCTGCTTTCCTGTCCCAAACCTATCTTCAGTAACAAAAGGGCCATTTGGAATTCCTGAAGGCACAGAGGTGCTGATAGTGATCAATGCCTGTAGGCCAACATGTGTATACACCGGGGGTCTGCTAATTGTCACACCTTTTGCCCAGTGGGTGAAGTTATAATCTGCTGATTGGTCAGTTTGAATGTCTCACATTTGGTTTTTAGTCACATGGTCAAGGAAGGGATAAAAGAGGACTGTAACTGTTGCTCTGTCTCTTTCCTTGGCTGGCTCTCTTCTTGGGTCTCTGCCCTCTCTCCCTCTTTTTCTTCCTCTCTCTATCTCTTTCTCTCAGGTAATATTTTACATGTTGGGTACAATTAACTATGCTTTACCATCCTTCATCTATTTTGTAACCAATTCAAGTGTAACCATAACAAAATATTGTTATTAAACCATTTCAATTATTAATTATGTGCTAACTAGTCTTGATTCAAGGTTCATCTTAAAGTGTTACCTATTGCAATACAATAGTCACACAATAGCAACGCTCTCCCACATATGTAGCTATTCTAACTGCGCTTATTTCCGTCGTTGGTATAAGTGGCAGTGGGTGGTAATAGACTAGAAATGTACAGTTTTATACCATCGTGCTGATAACGTTTCTTTAGTCATTCGGCAATCCTACAGCCTGAACCACCGTAGGAAAACCATCCTTACACCATCGTGGGAAAGTAAAAATGCCTTAACGATCGATCTGTTTCTTACAAACAAGTGGTTTTTCTCTTTACAGGATTGACTGGAGAGGTGTTGATTACTTGTGGATTATTGTGATGTTTTTATCAGCTGTTTGGACTCTCATTCTGACGGCAGCCATTCACTGCAGAGGATCCACTGGTGAGCAAGTGACGTAATGCTAGATTTCTCCAGATCTGTTTTGATTAAAAAACTAACTCTTGGATGACCTGAGGGTAAGTACATTTTCAGTAATTTTTTTTTTTGAGTGAACTACTACTTTAAAAGGCATCTGACTCCATTCATTGTAATTGCATGGTAACATTCTTTAAAATTGCTCCTTTGTGTCCCACAGAAAAATGAAAGTCACATGACAACAACATGAGGGTGTGTAAATGAATTTTTGGGTGAACTTATCCTTCAATTAATGATGGGATCATTACAAAACGATCACAAGTTTAACAAACAGTAGCTTAGTAAGAAGTAAAAGGATGTTAACTACTTTGGCATGTACATGGAAGTAAGGCATTTGTTCTGAGGGATCAATGAGAAGATGGAATCTTAGTGCAGTAACATGACTCATCCCTCCTCGTACACGGGTATGCTTCAAAAACCTTCGGTTGAAACCTTGTTAGGGTCTTGAATCACTTGCAAGGACACAATGATACACAGTTCATAACACATGCACACAAAATCCGACCATCGTGACGCTGACTTTTCCCCGTTACGCTCCTTGAACGGCTCGCAGGGCATTGCCTCAGATAACTATGGAGAGATAGATCGATAATCTCTCTTCAAAAGTGTTTCGGTGCACCTTTCCAATGATTCCATAATGAGGAAGTGTGTGGGCAATCAAACCGGTCAGAGGACGTTCGATCCTTCAGACCGTTAACACAAAGCCAGTCGCAGTGTCGATAACACGATGATAGAAAGCAAGGAGACGGGGATGGAGTTGGGTCGCCAGGCTCTGGACCCTCGTACACTCATACCTGGAACATGGAAAACAGGACTTAAAGGCACTGAAGCTTATTAATGTGTAATTGATGAATATAGAAAGAGTAATAAAAGAGCAATAGAGAAAAGGCTTCTTTGGGAATTGAAGGATGAAGTTATAGCTTTATCAGTGTTTAGCTCTACATCTGGACCTTCTTGTGCTCTGCGCGGATTTGCATTGACTTCCAGTAGACGCTCACTGAGCAGTTTTTCCAGTTGAAATGACTAATTAAAAGTAAAGCAGGTTAGAAAACCTTGCTATTGGCACAGCTAATAATTTCCAACATTAACAATCAACAAAACATATATACATATACACACACACACATATATATATAACATATACAAAACATATAACATTTTCCCTGCTGTTATACTGAGATTTAAATGAGCGTTATGACAACAAAGTATATTTTTAAAAATCTAAAAATGAAAAATTGCTGAACATTTACTCACCATCAAACCATCCAAGATGTAGATGAGTTTGTTTCTTCATCCGAAATTTTAAATCTTGAAATTTAGCATTAAATCTCTTGCTTACCAATGGATGCTCTGCAGTGAATGGGTGCGGTCAGAATGAGAGTCCAAACAGCTGATGAAAACATCACAATAATCCACAAGTAATCCACACCACTCCAGTACATCAATTCATTTGTTTGTAAATAAACAAATCCATCAATAATCAGTTTTTAATTTCAGACCGTTGTTTCCAGCTACTTTATCCATAATCTTGCTTTCTCCAATGAAAAGTTTGAGTAGTTTGAATCAGGAGTGAAATATGCACATATCAAACACTGTTTACAAAGTGAAAACTGTCCAAAACAGTTGGTCGTGGATTACTTGTGGAGTATTGTGATGTTTTTATCAGCTGTTCGGACTCTCATTCTGACGGCACCCATTCACTGCAGAGGATCCATTGGTGAACAAGTGATGTAATGCTTCATTTCTCCAAATCTGTTGCAATGAAGAAACACCCTCAGGACATCCAAGATGTAAATGAATTTGAGTACATTTTCAGCAAATTTTCATTTTTGGGTGAACTATTCCTTTAACCCAGAAACTAAAGGGAACTGAATGGAACTGAAACATGAATGCACACAACTGTTCAAAAGCTTGGGGTCTGTAAAATCCTTTAATGTAAGAAGTATCTTATGCTCAACAATTATCTGCATTTATTTGATCAAAATTAGTGTAAATAACAGTTGCATTTTCACTGAGGTCCAGCAGATGCTCACTGAGCAGACTTTCCTAGTTTAAATGACTAACTAATTAATACTAAAGCAGTGTAGCGTCTGGAACACTCCAACACACAATATATATTTT